TCTTTCTTCTTTTTTTCAGCATGGAATAAACCTATTACTTGTTCCTTTGCAGCCTACGCATGCTGACGCAGCTACCCACCTGAACTATTGTTTATTAACTCCTGGTAGTCTGATCTGTGCTTCTGATCAATTCATGAAAGTCAGGAAAGTATTATTCTCTCATGCGAGAAAATTCTTACAGATAATCTAAATCAGAAGAGTTGTGTCTAGGCAATATTTTCTATTACATTACTAAATAAAAAAGCAAGCCTTGTGCTTTTCCAGTTATGGTCTCGTGAATTGAGAAAGATTAAGTGAAGTATTTTTAGCTGGTAGTTGTTCACCAATAATAAATGTGAAAAAGTGTGGAGCCGTAGTAATGGTACCATTGGTAGAAATGCCCATAGTAGTAGCAGGAGTGGCAATAGTGGCAGTAGTACAGTTTGTGTAGTGAAAAATCTCATCAGGGGTGATTAAAAGCAAACGGTTTGTCTTATAGAAAATTAGGGGGAGGCAAGAGGAAATGCCCACAGGTTTCTGTTAGGTCATCAAGAATTAATTTATTATTGGAGGCAGTTATTTAAAATGCTCAGTGGATATTTGAGTTTGGAAGTGTCTCTGGATTATCCCAATTAATATTCCATTGCACAGTTGCTTCAGGGAAGATAATTTGCTTTTACTTGTTAAATTTACATTTTTTACAAAGATGAAATCTAGGGGCTTTGCAATTTAAGTGATTGATGGCTATTTAAAGCCCTGGAGGCCCAAAATCAAAATGTCAAATTGTCACAGTGAAATAATGTTTTGTATTTCCTTTGGGCAATGAGGGAAACTTTCAACAACAAATTCACCTAAACTGTTAAGTACCAAGATAAAGTTGTAGTGGGATAAATGATGCCGTAGGGGTCTTGAAAATGAATGTGCCGTTAGAGTACAAGTGATGAAACCTGCAAAGATTATATCCATTTTGAGGAAAGTAAAGCATTTTTTCCATCCTCAAAATAAATTATTCCTTATAGACTGTCTGGATTTCTGTGCTAGTCTGTATTTACGTGTATATAAAAATGTTATATTAAATAAAAATCATGATACATTTTGCTGTACAATTGACAATAGAAAGCAGATCATTTCTGTCAGCAATATGGATTTCTAAGAAAACAAAACTGCTGGACAGACCAAGTGTGACATTGTGTTGAAGTGAAGATTGATCGGTTTAGATTCAGCTCTTCTAGCTTTCAGTATCCACTGTAATCACTTCATCCAGTCTGGGGTCATGGGGGGCTTGTCCCAACAAGCAACAGGCCCAAGCCAAGACACACCCAAGACAGGATGCCAGTCCATCATTGGGCACACACAGACATATACAGTACGCTCTCACTCACTCCAGGGCAAATTTTCTAGAAGCCCATTAACCTACCAGTATGTCTTTGGACTGTTGGAGAACACCAGAAACCCACACAAACATGCGGAGGTCATACAAACACCATGGGGATAGGACCCTAAGTCTGGAATTGATGCCAGGCCCACAGTGCTGAGAGGCATCGACGCTAACCACTGCACCGCTGTGCCACCCATGTTTTGTTTTAAACATCCATGGATTCTGTTCAATATTTCTCATTATTGCGAACAGACGTTTCCTTAAGATTGGCTTGTTGCCTCCAGCAATCAGCCAATAAATATTTTTATAAAGTTCAATTTTTACAGAGGTGTTGATTATAGGAGTGCAGAATCATTTTTAATGCCTTTCAGTGAGGCAAAAAGGATTGTTTTGTGAAACTTCTGAAGTTCCTTTTATTCATTTTTGAGAAGAATGTTTTTTTTTATTGGTATAAAGAATGTTTTTTTGCAAAACATTTCAGAAAATGTATCTTGGCTTTCACCAGCTTTGTGAAAATATTTTTTTTAAAGATTTTTTTAAAATTAAGAAGAAAATCATTTTCCAAATTTTCAATGTACAAATTGGAGTTAAACCTGCTTTCGTCTGAAACTGACAGCTACTTAAAGGATAACGTGGAAGGGAACATAAAATGTTATTACCTTCCAGTAATGTAATTTAAGCACACAATTTCAGAGAACGAGTAACTAATAATAGTGTCTATTTTAACTCTTTATAGAATTAAACCTGGAAGGAAATAAACTCACACAGCTCCCAGAAGCAACTGGTTCAATGGAGAACCTGACAAGCATCAACCTGGCCAGGAATAAATTTTCTGTCTTTCCAGAGGAGCTTACTGACATTAAAACGCTTAAGAAGATTAATCTGGAAGGAAACGAGATCACAGGTGAGTACAAATGACGTCATAAAAGAACAAGATTAGTGTTTTGCCAAATCCAACTGCTGTTCGATTCAGGAAGTTTTTTCGCCCTCTTCACTGGAAGCAGGGATACAGTTAAACCATGTTACTACACCACACGTGAGCCATCCAGATCTTGAATGTTGTGTACAATACACATGGTTTAAAATACAAAGACTGAAGCTTCCAGAACAGATATACAGTATGTATGGCTATATCTAATGTCTACATAACCAGCACTATTTGCTCATGTAGTCGTGGTAATTGTTTGACTCCCAGCAGTTTACGATTGTGAAATGAAATTGAAATTATTAGGTAAACACAGCAGGTAATCGAGGTTGGACTTTTCCGTTTTCTTTCTGTCATGACTCTGCTGTTCACAAAGAGCGCTATGTTGTTATTCAGGGTTTTTTTTTGTCTCTGGTCCTTCCCAGCATGCAATGAACCACATGCTTTATGAATCTCCCATTTTGAACTTCAAAGAATTTCTCTCTCCAGGCATTGCCTCTTATAACAACAAAAGTATTAAACTGCATTTTTTTTGTGCTGTGGGTCACAACACTTTGCACTTTTCATATAGGAGTGCAGCACCTGCCTGGGGGATGCTCTAAGCCCATTATAAACCTGCTGCCCCACTGCACAGCAGATCAGGTGGAGGAATGGAAAATAGTTTCTGCATTTGAATTAAGCAGGAAATTTAGGGAGGCCAGATTGTGCAGGACCAGAGGTGAATTTAGCTGGGATGTTGGTGGAATGCCATCAGACTTACAGGAGGACAGCACAGTGTCTGTTCCACTACCACACTGGGGCAACACTGGGGGAATTCTGCTCCAGAGGGAGGGAGATCGATGTCCAGATCCACCTTGGACGAGCAGCAGCCTGGTTTTAATTCGAGGTCTCCCATCCCAGAAGTGACCAGGCCCAGCCTTGTTCAGCTTGTGAGAACTGTCCAGGTCAGGCTACAGGATGGTAACGTTGCTATGTACACCAACATCTCAAACGTTTTTTTCATGTCAATTAAAGACTTAAATTCTGTGCAGCAGTTATTCGTTTCCTCACTCCATAAAGCAGATGTCTTATTAAGATGCATTGTAAAGACACTTAATTTACTGCATCAATTAAAGGCTGTCAGTTTTATCAGTGCTGAATGATAAGACTGTTTTTTTGTGTTGTCTGTGAAATTAATTAGTTTTTAGGTTTTTGCTTTAATGAAATGCTCATATTTAATATTTCACAGAGCTGCATACTGGGTATGCCATGCCCTTTTAGGACACTCAATCGATCCTGCTCTTTGACTGTAGTTCTCAACGTAGAAGACAAACAGGAATGACATCACTCAGCTTTTATTTTTATATTTGAACTAAATTCCAGCTATAGCCCTGCTACAGACATAGAGATGTAACCCAGTTGTATCGATAATAAGGAACAAGAACAACTTAAAATTCACATTTAAATGTGAATTTATTTAATTTCATTATCTGAGTTTTGATCTGCTTTCAGGCTGATTCATCTCGGCGGGTCTTCTGCATTGTGTATCATGTAGCAGAGCAGTAGTCTTAAAATTAGTTTTGAATTGTTATATAAATTATGAACAGGGCTGGTATTCTTAATGCTATTCCACGAATAAGCTTATGCTTGGTGCCACTAATGAGGTTTGTACGTAACTTAACTGTGGGCGGAATGTGGAAACTCTTGTTACACAAAATAATGTAGAATTTTTCAGAGATTCTCTTTTCCAAAGAGAACATTGACTTTAAATAACTGATCATAGGCAAGTTGTTTTATCCCCCTATTATGAATATTATGAATACTGAGATGTAATATAGTGAATGGAAGTATACATTTTGAGAAATCAATGATAATGTTATAATTTGTACATGCAAATAAGGCCTTTTTGGTGATTAAACTGTTTTGAGATATCTGTTGGATATATTAATGAAATATTAATGGATAAATTGCTTAGAGTAAGATGTTGTCCATCACTTAATATGCATGATTAAATGTTACTCAAACAGACAAGCGGCAGCTATGCAAATGTGATGGAAAAAATGCCTACCACAATACAAAACATTCTTGAATTTAAAACATGTTCTACTTGATGTCACTTTTAAATTGAGCTTTCAAACGTACAGTTGATGTCTATTTTTGAAGTGCATCATAATCTTCAGCATATCACAGATTTCTAAAAACTAAAATAATTACTAATCCTAAAGGAAAAGAGCAAATAAAAAAAGGTGGTTAATATTTTTTCTAGAGCATTTATTCAGAAATGGTTATATGAGATTCTATACCAGTGTAAAATCTTAACCCCTGTTCTGTGAATATGACAGGTGTGAGCCAGCTATTGTTCAACCACAGAGATTTTGGCTTTTTCTTTGGGTGTTTCTTTTCCTTAACATCCTTCAATGGGGTGGGATTTCAGATGAATGAACATGAGCTATGCTGTGAGTCTATGACAGGACAATACAAAACTATTCTAAATATCACTTTTCCAGGATGCAAATCAAATACATGGACATTTAATGTAGACTGCAGGTGTAGATGCCATAGGGTAATATTGTTTTATTTACTGCACTATTCCAAAAGGACAAATTCTTCAAACCTATATGCAGTAGTTTTGGAGTGTAATGGCTCTATTATTAGCCTGAACGCCAGTACAGTTCTCTGGAGCAAAAGTCAACTGTTTCATAGTTGGAGCCCCAGGGGCTCTGAGACGAGAAGGAAGGAGGTGGAAATGTGGGTGGGTGGAAATGAAATGTATTGTATGTCTTGCCCTTTAGAAAGAGGTTACGGCAATGTTACAATCCCATGGTGCAGTTCAGTGGAAACTTGGGCTTGTTTATTTTTGTGACCATTATGACAACCTTACATGACAAAGGACTCCAGATTCATAAAACAGTAAGGTTTTTATAGTTCAATTCCAGTGTGAGTTGGTTTTATTTTGGGGTTATTCAAGATACTTTTTTAATAACGAAATGCTGCCTTAATGGAGAAAAATGATAGAATTTTATAAATCAAAAGGGTTTTTTACACATGTAAATGAGACCTTTTTGAAGATGAATCAGTTTCGACGTGAATGTACTTGTGCATTTTTAACTAAGAATCAGATATAGTCCATTACCTATCGTGTATGTTTAAGTGTTCCTCAGGGTGATGATCAATGTAAATGTGATTGAAGTAGATTTAAGTAATCTAACACAGCCTTGAATTTACAACATATTGTAATTCCTGAATTATGCATTAAAACTTGCTAAGTGTTTTTTTGTTTGAGAGTCGTAAGAAATGTGTAAGAGTGCTTTTACAGGCTTTTATTTGTTTTGGAAAAACAGTAATGAGAGCCCTTGCATTCCAAAAGGACGTCAGTGTATGAGCATTTATTTTACTTATTCATATTTTAGCTTCAGAGCAAATGGGATTGTTTAGCTAGATGGCAATTTACAGCATACAGGCCTGTCACAATTCCTAGTTTTGTCAGAGTTACAGGCAGTGCAGGAGACGTTCCTGTCACTCCACAGTAACAGTGGCTAAAATATGTAAATCAGCTGAGAATGATATTGCTGAAAGACCCACATCTGCTGTATTGCTCTACTGGACTTATTAGCTTTAAGTGAAGACTTAGGATGGTGTATGTCCTGCTATAGGAGCTCACCAATAGATTTCCACAAGCAGCTGGGCTACAGATTGAATTTGACATTTTCTTTTTTTTTTCCATAGGAAGTAATAGAGCTTCACCTACTTGAGAAAACTGTACAGTGGTTGCTGACTCTAAATCAGCATTAAGAGAAAACTCTGAGCAGTAAATGCCATTAGTCAGCTTCATGTTATAACTCTAATTAAAAATAAGGCAACAAAGAATTAATCAAGATAGTGATATCGGTGCAAGCAACCTTGGCCAGCTATTTTCCGAATTTAATTACAAAGTTGAAATGGGTTAGATAGGATTTACAGGGGAGTTTTAAAATCATTTACTTGCATGTTGATGAGCATTTGTGTAACTGGGATTTTACAGTGTTTTCAAACCACCGCTTTGGATAAAATTATAGTACACATTACACGAGCGAATAGGACTCTTTTCATAAGAACTGTTGCAAATGAGAGGAGATCCTTTGACCCATCTAACTTGTTTGGTAGATAATAGTTGATAGAAGATCAAAGGATCTCATCCAGCTATTTCTTGAAAGAACCCAGAATATCCAGCATGTCTGGATAGCTTTTTTAATGCTTTCACAACCCTCTTGAGAAAATATCCTGACAACACTCTCACTGGTGTAGGCATCCTCTCACGAGGCATCAATAAATGTAGGGGTTTGTGCATTTACTGGGACAATTATTAATTGTAGCATTAAGTCACAAAATGGTTCTTTGATGTCTATTAGAATCAACCTTGCGGGATAACTCAAACAACGCACACACGGGTACTAATATCCAACAATATATTACTACATAAAATGTGCAAATAAACATATCAGATCTTATTGAGTGTTAGCAAAATACAAAAGGTATATATTCAATCACGAGTTACAAACCAAGAGGGACATACATTCAGTATACCATTCATTTAGACCGTTTCATAAATGAACTTGGTTACAACCTCTACACTAGATACTCAAAAGCAAGTACATCACTCATAGGAATTTAATTGATATGAAAGGTTGAGGTAACAATTGAATTCTCGAGCTGTAATGCAGAATGTTGAATACTCATCCGATCTGTGTGGATTCAGATCTCCCGCGGGCACAATGAAGCAGTGGCAGGCTATTGCTGTGTCCAATCGGCGCTCTCTGGCTCGGTGCCTGGCAGTACTGTTTCGGCTTGCGACGTGATGGGAGAGATTCCTGCTGCGATGTGCAGCTGATGCTCGGCTAGTTAGTCCTGGCTTACTATCAGAGTTTGTGCACAGGAGAAAAGTGACTGCGGGTCCAAGCAGGTCACACTCTTTAGACAGGAAGAAGACCGATTCGTTCCTGATGTAGCGCTAGTTCTGAATACTTATATTCAGTTGTCCACAGTTCCGACCGTAGTTCACTTGTCGATCAGTTGAGCGTTCGCGGTGGGTTCACGAGGCTTGCTGCTGGGCTAACCTCGGGTGGATCCTTTGGTTACGTGCTGGCAACCTCCGTTCTCGACTCTTGGAACAAAGTAAAAGTCCTGCACTCTGACACACTGGCCATTACGTGGTTGTCTGAGCTGAGTCTGAGGATGTCCAGGAGGCGCGTTGAGTTGAGAATGTCCAGGAGGCGCTCGGAGGGACTACGGTCGTTCATTGGTTGAAAGTTTCATGGGCATGTGAGACCCACGGGGGGTTAACCTGCCCTACCAGTTCCTGATTGGCTGATCTAGGTGGAGGATGAGTAACCATGCACTCTGACCTTGGGGTTGTAAACAACTTGGGATGAGACTCTCCTTGACAGTAAGGCGCCAGAGATGACCATTTATTAGGGTTGCTGGAGAATCTCAGCTTTGGGTGTTGTTCCTTATCAAGACACTCTATCGGCTAGAAAAACACCTTAATTGTGAACCAAATGGAATGGCCTCTCTGTATCAAGCACCACTGAGATGAAGGAGAGAGACTGCCGCTTTAGTTAATAAGCCTTGCCGCTATACTGGTAATTCCAAAAAAGTGCAATTTTGCTTGACTTTTTCAATGACTTTAATACTCGAATCAGGTCCCCTTGTAGTCTTCGCTGTTCAAGATTGAAAGGGTCTTTTAGCCTTTCTGTGTAGGATATTCCCTTAAACCATGGAATGGATCTGGTTGTTCTTATCTGAATTGACTCCCTAAGGCACTATTTTTTAGAACTTGGTGACCAAAATTGAACACAATATTATAAATGAGGTCTTATTAGTCAATTGTACAATTGTAACATACTGTAACCCCTTAATTCCAATTATTTGCTCTTAACTGTATATCCTAACATTGTATTTGCCTTTTTATTGCTTGCCCACTTTGTCTACAAGTTGTGGTGTGTGAAAATACTCAAGTCTTTTTCATAAGTAGCCTCTTCTAGCTCATTTTTCATTACTGATTACATTACTTCATTA